TATATATATATATATAATTTTTTTTTTTTACTCACTTATTGCCAGGTTTACAATGCTTTAGTTTATTTTTGTTTCCAAGATATATTTTGGAAAACCTCTTCAGGTCCTACTGAGTACAATTCATAAGCAGATGAAGATCTTGTTTATAGCAGCTAGAATACTACATTGAGTGCAAACCTGTCCTTTCTCTTCAAGTTGTTTCTGTTCCCTTAGGAGGTGCTCCACTCGAGTCACACTGTCTCCAATATCAGCAAAACCTGCTTGTGCTTCCATGAGATTATCCAATGTCAGTTTTACCTAAAAAACAACAACAAAAAACATAAAATAAACAAACAAAAACCAACAAAAACCCCACCCAAAACCCCATCACAAGATATTAATAAAATTAGAACAAACCTATGGCTTCTAAATATTCACCTACATCTTTTATAAGGGTCTGCATCTCAAATTTTGTCTTTCAGCTCATTCCAAAATGGAAAAGCCAAGGAATAAAGCAAAGATCAACTATTCTTCGAAGAGCTGCCAAGCTTCCACTGTTTATTTAGGTGCACACAGTTTTGAAGACCTGTAACTCCAGAGTCTATATTACACCAGAATTTGTATTACTCCAGCCTCCGGGCTGACAGTGGAGCTTTCTGAACTGTATTCAGTTGACTCTGGTGAGATTGGCCACTTACCATCACAGAAGTGATTCCTGGTAACATCACACGCATAAATGAAAAATTATTTAACAAGAAGTTGGTGTTTCATATTTTGGCCTACCAGACTGGCACTTTGCTCACTGTGCCTTATTCAAATGCTGTAAGATACTGATAGCTGACAGGAGTTTAATTTTTGAATATCCATTTCCTATTTGATAATGAAGGGCTTCTCTCCCAACTTCCTTTTTGGAATGCCAGCATACTCTCAGTATGGGTAAAATTTTACCTTATTTTCCAGAGAAAGCTGGACAGAATGAACAAATGAAGTACCTCTCTAAAATCATGTTCAAAGTGTCGAAGCTGCAGGCATTGTTCTAGTTTTAGGTGATGCTTGGTCCAAAATTGATCAAAAGCCTTTTCTGTTTCATCCAGCTGAGCCAACAACCTGTTAAGAAATTAGAATGAAAAGAACTTACATATTTCCTATAGTTCGTTTCTTTTAAGTTATACCAATTGATGGCAGAAGGCAGAGCAGGGTGATGGTGCGGAGCCTACACCCATGGAAGAAGGCTGTGTGTCAACCTTCCCTTAAGCAAAAGAGAATGAAATTTGCAGTGGGACAGGCAGGAATGTGACTGATGAGTGACAACAACGTGGATCCACTGTGGCAGTTGCAGTCCTGCCTCCTGACCTGCGGCAGGAACACAGAGCTGTTCCATGCGCTGGCAGCCAAAGGCAGCTGTCCCTCCCTAGCTTCCACCTAATTGTTCAAAGATCATTCACCCCAGGCTAATGCAGATTGAATATGATGCAATTATTATTTTAAGGAATCTTTAAAGCAGAACTCCACAAATTTTTCATTTTCTTCACCCATCAAAAATAGGCAAGGACTGAATAATTTTTCCCAGTCCATTAAAAACAATAGATGAGAAGCCATAATGCCTTCCATGGACATTCTTTCACTTTATGTAAACAATGAAACATTTATTTGCAAAGAAATCAGTATTGAGGTGTCATACATCTTGAGTAAAATGTCTGACACCAGACTAGTCAGTCATCCTCACAGTCTCTCAACGATCTATTAATTATATTACAAAGTAGAACATTTTAAACAGAAAAAAAATTAAAGTCTTCTCTGAATATCCTGTATGTCAATAGATGGGCAGTCTTTGGGCAGGCAGGGGACCAGGCCCGATCTCCTACGAGCCCACTGAGTGCTGGAATCATCAAGTTATTGGGACAAACACCAATAGCTCCCTCCTATTCCTCTCAAAAACAGAGGTCTGTTTTCAATCTATCCCTGAAAAACGTGTTTTTAATCAAAGCTAGTTGTTGAATTCAAGATGAATTCGCAAATTCCTTTGGGATGACCGTTTAAAGGATTTTAAAGTATTCAGTGAAAAATATCAGCTCAGCTTTACTTTTTGCAGCTTTGTTCCCAGTGAATGCAGACATGCTGAAACACTAGCATGACATTTTTATTTCCACTGCATCACATGGCACAGCAGAAACTTCTACACAGTGACTAAAAGCTTTATGGTAATAACTAGCATTGTAGGAAGGAATAGGGGTTTCTCTCTCTCTCTATGCAGCTGTGAAGGAGTATGTTTTGGAGGATCATCTTCATCTGTTCCTCCCCCAGTGTTTCCACAGACATGCACAAGCACATACCCTCTCATCTTACGTGGATTCAGATGCCACTTTCTAACCAGGCATAAAAGTTTGGAGGATGCATATGTTATGCAGTAAGTCCCACATTAAATCTTCAGCTAGGCAGTTAGTGGTCCAACCAAAAATTACAAAGAAATTCAGAACTAACTTAATTAAACTGTCAAGTTCAAACAACTTCCTCAAAGCTATTCCCTTCTCTGAGTTACCTGTCTAATAAATCCTGAAGAGCTGAACCAATAGGAATTTATAACCTGCATATTTAAATCATTTAAATTACACTTGCATGTTTTAGGAATAAATAAGCAACTTGCACAAGGTAATCTAGCTTCACTGACCTTTCTACTGTGGCCACATTTTCCAGTTCATCTGGACTGAGTTTGCTGTTGGCGCTTCGGGTGACTGGCTCCCTAATGCATGTCAGTAGGGTGGCCCCCTGCTTCACAGCTAGTTTCAGCTCATCCTGAGGGAAAAAAAAAAGCCAAACAAATTGTATATACTTATTCTAAAAACACTCACATCTCTTAGATGGACAAGATTGTAATGCTAAAGGAGGATTCCTTCATAGGTATTAAATATTTGGAACAAAATATGAATGCTTACCAAAGATGATATGGCTTTCTAGAAATGCAGAGACTACATCTATTCACTTTGAATAGTAGATATATTTCTGAGGAAAGGAATAGCATATAACTTCTGAGCAGAATGCATTTCTGACCAGGCAACTTGCAGAATACATTATTCTACCACAAACTGAATGTGTGCTGCAGATTGTTCAGTAAGCTGAGACACTGTGCTGAGTCGTGACACTTTTTAATGGAAGCCCTCTGATCTTTTTTGTGGCCGTTCTCTGGACTTGCTCCACCAGGTCCACGTCTTGCCTGTGCTGAGGGCTCTAGAGCTGGATGCAGTACTCCAGGTGGGGCCTCTTTGAGGATAGAGGGGGGAAATCATCTCCCTCGACCTGCTGGTCACTCTTTTTTTGATACAGCCCAGCACACGGTTGGCTTTCTGGGCTTCAAGCACACACTGCCGGCTCATGTTCAGTTTTTCACCTACCGACACCCCCAAGTCCTTCTCCTCAGGGCTGCTCTCAATCCATTCTCCTCCCAGCCTGTATTTGTGCTTGGGATTGCCCCAACCCATGTGCAGGACCTAGTTAGATCATTCTGTCTATTCCTGGACTATCGTCACAGATGTTCTCTACCTCTGCTCCAGTGTGAATTCATTCTTTCTGATGAATTCTTCATCAGGAGCCCATGCTATTCCAGATGTGATCCCATCACACCCTCTCATACAGTAGAAGTGACATTTCTCTGTTGTACCATTCCTGAAGCTGTAAAAAGTCTCTTTTCGTAGCTGAATCAAATCACTCTCCTGAACCCAGGTTTCTCTCCTCTTAAGAAGTTTCCAGACAATGGACTTCCAAAAGATGGCAGAAAATTTTGTTAAATCAAAACTCATATATTACACTGATGAAGCTGTCGTGAGACAACACTCACCTTCAGCTTGCTATGGTGGTCGGTGTGTGCAGAGAGGAGCTCCTCCGTGCACTGCACATCGTTGGGAAGTTCAGTCTCTGCTAGGTCTGTTCCAAAGGTCTGTAGCATCTGTGCTGTTGTTTTCACTGTCATTGCAAAGTTTTCAATAGCCTGGAAGGCAAGAGCATAAAGTCACCGACTGGTTATTTGCTTAGCCCTTGAACAATGCTCAGTCCTGCAGGCAGACTGTGCTGCGAGGATTACAGGCTTGTCAAGCTGGCCATGTTGCCCTTTTTGGGGTGGATATGCTAAAAGTTACAAATTAAATCCTGTGTCACAAATGATCTTTTCACAGGCCAGCAAGTATCATCATCTCCAGGAACCACCTGGGGAACTCCCAGAGCTTAACAAACATAATGAAACCACAGAGGGCATCAGCTTCAAAGCCAGGACTGGAACTTCAGATCCTCTGCCCATGCTTGCTGGGAAATTCTGCTTTGTTTAAAATTTTAATTAAGGCTTTATTTAAGTTGAGGAATCTCTGAAAGTATATAGGGCAAAGCCTTTTTACATTTATATTTATAAAGCCATTGTTCACTCAGCAGCAACTGTCTTCCTCCTGACTTCTGAAAATGTGCATCTCTCCATCCTGCCTGTCTTTACTAGATGCATTCCAGTCACTCCCTCCCATCTGTTCATATTGGCACACAAATACAAGAACAACTTACTGCAAATACAGTTAAAATGCATAAATTCATTGGAGCATTGCTATTTCTTTATCATTTGGGTGCACCAACACAAAACTTGCCAGAAATCTGTGGTTTTACTGAAGAAAGGGGACATGAGGAAGGCTTAAAAAGAATGCTGCCTTTTCAGAGTAGGATAAATTGGTCAGACTTGTGAGATGTGATTAATATGTGAAGATATCTTGTAGCAAGTAACTGCATGGGATGTTTTTTCATTATCATGCCCCAATTTTTTAGGGACGGTATTGTCTTGTCTAGCTCTTTATTCTTTACACTTTCTGATCTAAACCACTCAATGGTTTGAGTCAGTCAGCAGCACTAAGGATGCTCGTACACCCAGCCAAACACTACATAATTGTTGTGAGTTGCATTCCTTTATCCAGCAATTATGGGAATTCCTCATTTGCAACCATGACCATTAAAATTGTGCTGTGTGCTCAGTGAAGAACAAACTGGAGGTAGATCATGATTCAAAAGGTGCAGAAAGAAATTAAATTCCACATCTGTGACCTGAAACATGCCCCAGATGAGGCAATGCTAGCAGGGTTCATACCCTTCTTTCCTTTTTTCCCCATAAATTCATGCCTGCTTTCAACATAAGCAGTACAGAGCCACATATGCTCTGGCTCAGTGCTTAGCAGCTGTAGCCTGCTCTTCTTAGCACTGAAACTACTGGATTAAAGTTGGCTGAAATGTCACACTTCTGACTGCAACACAGAGCCTTCCATGACCAAAGGCCATTTACTAAAAGCCAAAAATGTGCTCTGTGGGCAAGAAGGCTCATAGGCTTACAGCCTTCCAGGATAAGAAAGCAGAAACAAAGAACAATGCAGTGAGATTGCTGTGTCACTACCATTTAGCAACAATTTAAAGATCTTTCAGAAAAAAAGCAATGGCAGGAGAAGATACGAGAACACTAAGAGAAGCAGCAAAGGGGATGAAGACCATAGCTCAGTAAGACTGGATGTCAGGCTGTTTCAAGGTGCCGTGGAGGCTGACATTTCCCTGATGGCAACCTCTTATCCAGCAGAGATTCCTTGTCTGACTGTACCACGCACCGTGAGCTTATCAGTGTTTCACTTAACAGCATGCTTGCTCCACCTCCCTCCCCATGCGTAAGAGAAATAAATTGTTTCATATACCTAAGTTACGTCTGTGGAGTTTTTTTTCAAGTCTCTGTGCTTGGTAAAAGTTTTTCAAACAAGTTTAACCAAAAGATCTGAGGATTGCATAGCCACACTCACCTAAAATCCTGGTTCACTTTTATTTGTAGATTTTACCAAACTATATATTCATGCTTTATGTAAACTCCTGTTGTTAAACAATACAGCCTTTCTTGTGCCTCTTTTTACTTCCCTTCCTCATCTTTTTAAGCCTTTAGCTGTTTGAAAGCTCATTTAGATGATTCCTTCAGACTCACCCCTCCTGCAAGGACATTATCGTATTTTTGATACTTTTAACATGTAAGCCTGTTCACCTATCTCAACCCTAACCTCACTGTAGTCAACACAGCTATAAATGCAGCAAACTAGTGTTAGAGGAAATTCAGATTCTGTGTTTGCATATTTAGAAGCCTGAAATATTTGGTGGTTCTCAAGGAGAGTAAAATTTAATTTTATACTGGCAGTAAAGCACAGAAAATCATAGCAGGGAAGTGACAAAAGTGATTTGACTTAACAAGGCTACCTCCAAAAAGCTCTTTTTCCTAATGTTAGACCTAACCTGAAGGTCAGCAACAACAGACTTAAACCCAAGTCTGCCCAGAACACTGCAAAACATTGGGGCTACTTCGATGTGAGCTCTAACATACCAATCTTGCAAGCAGATCCAGAGAGACAGATGCAAACATTGCATACAGTCTCTAGGAAATGAATTCATTTTCCAGGATCAGGACCCAGCTTTGCCCATTTTTGTTTAGATAGGATGAGATTATATTTTGGCTGCTGATATGCCAGAGTTTGGGGTTTGGTTTTTGTAAACAGTCACCTTTTCTAGGAACTATAATAGATTGTTTACAGGGTTTTGAAGCATTCACTGAAATGCATTAACCAACACAAAAAGGGAACAAACAAACCCGTAATAAGTTTCCTCAAAGGCAACGGAGTGAGAAGTCTTTCTGCCTTCCTACAATTATTAACTATTCTTCGGTTACTCCAAGTAAGACCCAGCTGGAGTGCATGTTTACATAGCACAGAAATGAAAATGAAAATAAAATCTAGTGTCTTGAATATTTTTCTTTGCTTAAAAACATGGATATAATTAATCATTAAAGTGAGAATCTTGACCTTTGATTCAGTAAAGTGCTAAAGCATATGTTCAACTTCAACCATGAGCTGAAGGCCTATGAATCTCATAAATTATTCAAAAGCTAAGAATGTGCCAATGGGCCTTGCTGAGTAAGAATACTATGATGTTGTTAGGCTCTAGTCCAGGTCAATAGTGAGATAAGGATTACTACTTCTATTACAAACTCTTGGGGAATTTACCTTTGAGTCATGGATTTCCTCTTTCCATTAATCCCTAGCAGAATCTGTAGGCTGAAATGCAGCTGAAGAGTAACTACTCAGTGGTTGCTCTACATTTGTCATCTGGACAATTCTGGGTGTAGACGTGTAAGAACAACACCAACACTCACAGTTCGGTGATGTATCCACTGACTGTGGCCGTACTCCAGGGTTCCTCCCAGCTCCCGGGTCAGCTGACTTTTGTCGATATAGCCATGCAGATCAGAGACAGAATTTAACATGATGATCTGAAACGAATCCAAACACAATGGACTGAGAGAAGCAACAAGCCTTTTCTGTCATTGTTCCTAGGATCTGGGTTTGCCTTAAACATATATGACCAAACTGTGGTTCCACCCCAGGTAGTAAGTTCTCATTATGTATTTGTTCATGCAATAACCACAGTTTATTTCCACCAGATTTTGCCTTCTCAACATGTACATGGCCATTCTTGAACTAACCATAATTTGACATCATCTTGCACTCTGAGGATGCAGTAACTTTGCATAGGCATCAAGAGCAAAAGTATGGTATTTATAATGTTCACGCAAACTTCCATCAAATAATTTCTATGTTTTCATAGAATCATAAGCTGGTTTTGTGTAGTTGTGCCTGGGATTGCCCTGACCCACATGCAGGACCTTGCACTTGGCCTTGTTGAACTTCATGAGGTTTTCATGAGCCTGTCCAGGTCCCTCTGGATGGCATCCCTTCCCTCCAGCGTGTCCACCACACCACACAGCTTGGTATTGTCAGCAGACTTGCTGAGAGTGCACTCAATCCCACTGTCCATGTTGCCAAGAAAGATGTTAAATAGCACTGGTCCCAGTACCGACCCCTGTGGAACACCACTTGCCACCAGTCTCCCCATGGACATCAAGCTGTTGACCACAGCTCTTTGGGTGCAACCATCCAGCCAGTTCCTTATCCGCTGTGTAGTCCAACTGTCAAATCCATGTCTCTCCAATTTAGAGACAAGGATGTTGTGCGGGACTGTGTCAAATGCTCTGCACAAGTCCAGGGAGATGATGTCGGTTGCTCTTCCCTTATCTACCAACTCTGTAACCCCATCGTTGAAGGTCGCCAAATTTGTTAGGCATAATTTTCGTTGGTGAAGCCATGTTGGTTGTTACCAATAACCTCCTTATTTTCCATGTGCCTTAGCATAGTTTCCAGGAGGATTTGCTCCACAATCTTGCCAGACACAGAGGTGAGTCTGACCGGCCTGTAGTTCCCCAGGGGTTACTTTTTCTCCCTTTTTAAAAATAGGGGCTATGTTTCTGCTTTTCCAGTCAGTGGAAACTTCACCAGACTGACACAACTTCGCAAATATGATGAATAATGGCTTAGCAACTTCATCCACCAGTTCCCTCAGGACCTGTGGATGCATCTCATCAGGTCTCATGGACTTGTGCACCTTCAGGTCAGCTGTGAGATCAAACCAGGATGTTCAGGAATTTATTCACGTGGGTCTTAAAAACCTCCAAGGATTGAGACTGTACAACCTCTTCAGGCAGTCTGGTCCACTGCCTGATTATCTCTGTGGTGAAAAAGTTTTTCCTTATATCAAGTCAGAGCTGCCCTTATTTCAGTTTATGTCAGTTATCTCTTGTCTCACAGAGCATGCACAACCTGTCTGCATGCTCTCAGTAACCTGCTTGGAGGGATTGGAAAGCTGCTGTTATGTCATATTAACCCTCCCAAGCCTCCCCTTCTCCAGGCTAGACAAGCCCAGTCTCTCAGCGTCTCCTTACAGAGAACATGCTCCAAGCCCTGACCTTGATGGCTCTCTGTTTTGAGCGAACCAAAACTGGACAGAGCATTCTCAATGCAATCTAATGAGAACAAAGTAAAGGGGGATTAATCCCTTGTTCTCAATCTGCTGGCTATGTTCCCGTTAATGCAGGATTCTGATAGCTTCCTTTGCAGCCAGTGCACACTGCTGGCTCATGTACAGCTTGCCATCTACCACGTTCCTGGGTCCTTTTAGCAGAGTTGCTCCCCAGTCAGGCTGCAGCCTATATTGTTGTCAACAACACAACACTTGTGCTGTTGAGAAGGAATAACATGGGTTCTTCCTTCTTGAGGAAGGAAGTCCTTTTGGAAGGAAGTCCTTCCCAGCTGCAGGACTTTTCAGTTGTCCTTTTTGTATTTCATAATACACTGGTTAGCTCATTCCTTGAGTTTATGTTCCAGTGGCTCTGTCTTTGAGTGTACCAACTGCTTTTCTCAGTTTAGCCTCTTCCAGGTCATTGATAAAACCAGAGCATGTCACAGCAGATATCACTACACCACCCCACTTGTTGTCTGCCTCCATGTATAGTATGACCCATTAATCATCACCCTCTGAGCCCAATTACGAACCTAGTTTTTAAATCCATCTAGTTGTCCACCCCTCCAGACTTTAACATCGTAAGGTGGTGTCATAGTGAACCACTTGGATACAAGAATATTGTGGGAGACTCCTTTGGTCCCATGGACCTGTATGGGGTTGAATATTCTCAGGTAGTCCCTGACTCTACTCTTTTTCACTTCCAGCAGTCATCTTCTCCTTCTAAACACAGAGGCCAGGAGACCTTGTTGGTGAAGATACTGAGGCAAAGAAAGAACAGAGTACCTCAGACAAAGCTAAAGGGAAAGTTTTCCCTCAATATGTTACCAAACGCTCTTTTGTTATGATCAAAGCCAGAAAATTCAAAAACTAGATCGTCTTGGAGTAGCCTCAGACTGGAACGTGAAGTCTATGCACTACTTCTGAATTGCAAGTCACCTTTGAGAAAGTAAGCCTCAACTGCTTTGTAGCTCTTCCCCATCAGAGATGTCGCTGACAAGCTGGACATCTTTTGATACTCCAAACTCCCTTGAAACTACAGAGGAACAGTGTCATGCACTTTTCTTTTGGGAAGATGTTTGTTTTAACTCAGCATGAGCCACAAAGCAAGTCTATTAATATTGCCAGCTATAGTGCTACCCAACAGGGCATGACTCTTTGCCCTGCAGGCATCTCTGCAGGAGAAAGCCTGGGAGCAATCCAACATCCACCTAAGAAACCAATCTTACAGAGCACTGTCATCTCCTGCACTTCTTGCCAGACTGAACACAGCCATGTTCAGTAAGCTGGAGAATACAGGAGAGCAGCAGTTTAGAAGAGGAGGGCCTGCATAGGAAGGTCAGCATGGAACACAGAGCCGCGGTGGGGTTGCTTCATGATGGGTTAGGCCATCTGAAAGAAGTCACAGTCTACAAAGGTCAAAGAAGTGCCTGCTGTGGACAGATCATTCAGCCTTTTGTGTATGCTATGAAGATGCTTTAATACCCTTCCCATGATGGGAGGTTCCTTAGGTAAGTCTCTGGGTGTTTCTTTTGAATTCCCAGATTTATCTCAAATGGAACCTGGTGTATCTCCTGTATTTCTGTATCTTGTTCCTGGGTAATGGTGTCAGTAAGTCATAGATCCTGCATTTCCTTATTGTGTCTAGTTCATTATTTCAGCCTTTATTTCCTGTTCCTGTTTGATCTTCTGGCTTCTACTCAATCTAGTGTTGATTTAACCCAGCAAATCTGTTTTACTGAACATATTTGCAGTCTGATAGCTCAGATAAACTTAGTAACAAATGTTTCCTTAACAAATGCACACCATATTCTTGCAGTCCCTTTTGAATGCTCGTGTCCTGGCCCTGACTCGCTTATAGTTGTGACAGGAAATGCAGCCCATCCATGGCCATGATGACATTAATGCTGTCATAGTGCCAAACGCACAACATGAACAAACATCCTGCAAACAATTTAAAAGATGATGGTGGTATTAAAGATAGGTAGTGATATCTAATTCCTTGAGTAAGGATATCTCCCATGGGACAAGAACTCTGTGGCCCTGTTCTCGTGCTTGGCACGTAGGATGTCATTTTCAAGGGAGAAAAATAGATGTCACTCTCAGTAACTTATACATTCTGAAACTGGGGTGCACAGGGGCATGCCCAGAGGGTGTTTTTAAATCCATCTAACAAACAAACACAGGTGAAAGGCCTCTCCAGAGAGCATGGCAGACCCCAGGAACTTCGGACACCTTTAGCATAACCCTAAGAAGCTTATAATAGCATCAGGCATTTGTGGGCATGCTGTATATAAATCTGACAGGCTGTCTGCAGATACCTGGGCAGGAGGCAGGCAGATCTAGCAGCAAGCATATCATGCTCTTATTTTTTTTAAGTTTGCTTTCTAAGAGCTCTGTGGAGATATCCAAGATGGCTCAAAATCTGAATATCCAAATGACCCCAAACTAAACTCATATCTTGATTTTCCTGCCTGTAAGAGAGGTAAGATACTATTTAATACTTAACACAGTGCTTGACTCCTGCCTAGAATTAATCTCCCTTCCAACTTTGATATTTTGAAGTTGGATTTGAAATGTAACACTCGTCAAATACTAGTCCTTGATGAAGTTGTCCCTTTCTGGGCTGCAGTCGCTGGTACAACAGTCGCTATGGTAACAGATTGTGGCTTATTAAATACAGGAACATCCACTTTTTAAGGTGCTATAAAATCACAAGATTTTGTTTTGTAATCAAACATACATTTTTACATCAATTCTGCATTTTTGTTACCAAAAAGCCACCCTTGCCAAACTACAGTCAGCGTTACAATTTAATCCACAATGACCAAGTGAATATTCATGGCTCCTGATCTGTTTGCATTGTAATAAATGTGCTGCTGTCTCTTACCTCAAAAGAAGCATAAAGTGCCTTAAACATCTGAACTTCAAACTTAGGTATTGACAGAGCTAGAATTCTTTGGAGGAGAGCCATGGGTCTTTTGCAAAACAATATAAAACCACAAACAAAATCCAAAACAATCATATGAAATTACTCCAATAAAGTCATTGTGGAACACAGTACAAGTCTGGTCCAGGATGAAATACCATCAATAATCATAATTCAAGTTTATTTTTAAAACACTTTGAAACTACATGCAAACACGCAACTAGGAACAACTCCCAAAAGAGCTCACATAGAATAATTTAAAACTTAATGTCTTTCTGGGTTGATAACCTGCTTCAAATCACATTCTCATCAACCCACACCATATACCAAGTACGCATAAAAAGAAGTGAAAAACAAGCTTTGAATCTTGAGGGCATGGGGATCATAAAAGGCATTAAGAATGGGCAATGCTATGCAAGCCTTCAGTGGGGCACTGTCAGCAGTCCCATGGGTAACACACAAACCAGTGCAGAATTCAGCCCTAGCCTGTCACTGCTCTGTAGTCCTAAATACTTATGTTTGTCACTGGAGTGAGAAGATCTACTTCTGCCTACATCAGGGGAATGGCTCCATTGAATTAAGATGTCAATACTTAAAAACCAAGTCACATTTTATAGCTAGACTGACCATTCCACACGGGAACGTGTCCATTAAATACTGTGAAGCATCCACTGGTAATTAACTCTTCAGCATTATTATTACATACACCACACAGACCAAGGTAAAAGTCCCCAGTTGCCACTTTCAGTCAAATTTCAGTTACTGGGTTATGAGAAATTACTGACACCTAAGAACTGCAGACATGGAGATAAAGAAAACACACAGACCAAAAACTGCATGCTTACCGGTACCTTCATTTTAAAGTCATCTCGATAGAGTTTAATGCCAATGTCAGCGATTGTCCTTTGGATAAAGCGGGAGGGTCGCAGGACAAACACCAGCTGCAGGTTTCCTGGAAATGCTCCCTGCGAGAAATATAGAACTATTAGAAGGAACAACTCTGCCTTACAGGAAGGCCAAGGGCATTTTCAGCCAAGTGTTTCCTAAAGAGGGCAAAGCAGGTAGGACTTACTGAACCTCGCTCAGGCCAGCTGCTAATAGTATCAGCTGGTCCATTCAGCGTGTGCCCATTGTCACCATCTCCAAAGCCAACAGAAAGACTGGCCCATGGATTTTACTGCCCAGCTATACACTGCTTTCTGATATCGATTTAGCACAGAGCTCTGAAGTTTCTGCTCTCGTGCTTTCCTCCCCTCGATCTGAACTGCATCAAGACCCCTTTCACTACCACACCATAGGTTCTACCAGTTTTTTAGGCTGCAGACACTAGAGGGCAAAACTGGCCACCCATGTTGGAGTCAGTGAAAAACGCTGGTGGCACAGATGAATTCCCCAGGCTGACCTACCTTCTCACTCTTAACTTCACATATTTTCCCCCCACGCAGGCACTCAGCACATTCACCAGACATGGCCCTGTCTGCAACACCCAGCCTACATCCCTCATGCAATTCTCTGAACTTATCAAGCATAAAAAAATAAAAATTTCTAGAAGAGAGCAGCTAAAAAGAACCGAGAATGAAAAGCAACTCTGTTTAAATTCCTTGAAATAAAGTTGCCCTGGTGATCCCTCCATCCTACACCCCGATGTGTAAGTGCTGGCTCATCACACAGCACATGTTCCTTGTAATAGATGTATAAAACCAGCTGCTTTTATTAGCACTGAAAATCAGTGCTTAGCTCTGACTTTTGCAAATGTGATATAATAAGCTAGTAAGAGTTTCTAACAGAGATCACTTATGACCACGCAAACACAAGTCCCTTGGGATCTGTTTCTTTCATAAGCAGGCCACGTCATCACTCCTCAGTGCACAGAAGGGTACCTCTGTTATACTCTTCTAGGAACCAACTTCAAATTACTAGAATTTATATTGCAGCAAACCCAGCAAATAAGGAATTTATCCTAATTCCACTGTAAACAAGGCTGTGTAATTTGTTACAGCAGCTTCCTCCCTCTCTTATTTAACACTCATGAGCTTCAGGGCAGGGGAGAATCTGCATCTACAGCCAGAAAATGGGAGCTAAAAATGAGCACACGAGATTGTATCCTGTGCTGAAGTTTCAGGAGATAGTTTTAATTTCTATGAGATAAATAACAAAAGCAAGCACTTACTGCTATCCGTGTCAGGGATGCCTTGACTGCGCTCCATTTGTCCCGTCGTCTGTCTATGATGATGATGAATCCAATGCTGGCAGCCTCCAGACTGCAAAACAGATGAAATAAGTATGCTGGGTTACACGGAGATACTCCCGTTCCAAGGAAGAGTACTGCAGCAAAACACAGCCTCCGTCAGATCACCCTCTAAGCCCATTATGAAAATGCAACATACAGTGGAAAGAAATGAATATTTGGCAGAAATCCACATGAAAATGAAAGCTGACAAATTTTCCAGCGTAAGGCAGCTTACGCAAGACGTTAAGATTTTATCTGCTAAATCTCTCAGCTGCTATGCTACTTTGCTGCCAAATCTAGGTGATATGAATAGTTCAGGATCACTAATCACGCTGTGTTGTATTGAAGACAAAAACCTCAGATCTCGTTTTCTCTGCAAAATAATTCAAGTTATTAGACACCCCACTTCAGTCTTCATTCTCCAAGTACGCTGACATCTGACAGGGGCACTTAGCTCCAGGGAGTCAGTATCTCCCTAGTGTCACCACCCTGCCTGTGTACACAATGCCCCAGGATTCTGGTAGGCAAAGCAGGAATTGAAGAATTGTATCTTGCTAATCACAAACTGGTTCTAGGGTTGCAAGTCATTCAAAAGTATCCTTTCAACATATTGGCTAGAATATCAGTTACTGTTCCATCTCAGTACTTTTCAAGGAGGATCTGTGAGGCACTGTTTTGATGCTCCATCCCATCTGCGTAGACCTCAGAAACATCCCATCCTCTCTCTCCCTCAAAAATCCCACTTTGGTGTTCAGGGCTTCAGGGGGACTGCTCTACTCTTTGCCTTCCAAGAGTGCTCAGAGTTGGAGAGAAGTCCCTGGAAGCTAATAAGCACACAGTGAGAAAAATCTTCAGAAACGTCATTATTGCAGGATGGATCGGTCATCTCTGGACAAACCAGAGTCTCTTTAATCTGAGTCTCTTTAATGCTGTCTCTTGATTATGCTTTATATATTTTTGACAGCCGTGTTAATTTTTGAGAACCATGTTAAAGCAGCAGGAAAACGGGAATGTAGGGGGACATAATTTGAATCAAACAGATCACCAAAATATGGCCTCTATTCCAAAGAAACAGAAAACATATATTGGAATCAGCATCTGATTAGGTTTTCAGCTTAGACTCGTGCAATCAGTTTGTACCTGCTGAGTATCTCTCACACAATAAGTGGACACACAGAATCAGGTTCAATTCTCATGCAGTTCTGTTGAAACCAGTGATTTATAACAAAATTACCAACAAAGTAGGTGTGTTAGCTGAAGTTAACAAAATGCTGATGTTGGTCTAAAGAAATATATAATTCAACTAATATCAGGTTAATAAAAATTAGAAAAATCTGTTCTTCACAAAATTTATGATGTAGCTAAACCACAAGTAACTCTGTCCACAGGCACCATACTCACACAAGCTGACTGCACCCAGAAATTGCCGTGTTTTGCCCATCTACCTGGTTTGAGAGACTGACTAAAGGCTTTCTAATAGGAGTGTACACGGAAGATTGGAGGCCTAAAAGATTGCAGAATCAGACCCTCACACCTTGGTGAGCAAACTGCAATGGAAGTAACTGACAAAACAGCATCGGACAAAAGGAACAAGAACAACTGTGATTTAAACAAACAGAAAACTATTTGTGCCAAGTAAAACTTGCCTCTGTGTCTCAGAACTAACTCTTAAGTCCCATTTTTAAAAGCCCCTCAAACATGTAGATCAGAAGTCACTTAAAAAGGGCCCTTTGCTGTTTTTTCAAGTATATGTCCGTGATCAAGCAGTTCATTTTTTAAGGTGTTCTGCATGGGGATATGTAACAGCAGAAATGCATCCAGGCATCAGATGCAACAAGAAAAATTAAATTAATAGATAATAGGAACAAGAGCTTAGGAAATACAGATAGAGACAAGAAAATGCAAGAGAAGCAGCAAAGGAATTTTCTCATGAAATTAGGCTTGGCAAGAGCGGTCATGGGGGTGGGGAGAGCTGGGAATAGTGAACATATGGGAATAGGAACATTGCCACCGCAAATCAGAGTGTTGCAGGCCAGTTAAAGAGGCAGACTGAGGAAATGAAAGCTTAAATAGATACTTAGGTAATGCTTTCGATTTAGATATGAGAAGAGAGCAAAGGAGAGCAAAATACAACTGAGTGTGCACTCTAGCTATGGTGGGGTGCTACTCGCAGCTCTCTCCCTGCAAGACCAGGTGTAGTAACTGCAGCTGTCTGGCAAGGACAAAACCTGCCAACCAGCCCTGCCTGGCACACGGGCTGCAGGGGAAGGCACAGGCCAGAATACTTTATTACACAAACAGTGCAGGTACAGTCCTAGCTCTGGAAGAGTACAAAGAACAAGCCAAGGCATGAGATCTGAGAGAGATTTGTCAGGGTAAAATGAGAATGAGGCCATTAAGCAAGCAATGCAGGTACCTATTGCAGTATATATCATTTATATATATATATATCATATACATAATTGAATTTATTACATTGTCTGAGATTAAATGGGTAAAAAAATAAAGAATTAAAAATTACATGATTTGAAGGAGGAAAAGAGTGGGGAGGCAAGGTGCGAAAATCACATGCTGCTAAAAAGCAAAGCAGCTGAGCACAGAAGAAAGTGGGGGAGAATATTGACATCACTCAAAATCACTCTGGCAGACCACACAAAGGCAAGCAGCAAAGAAACCATTCAGAGGTACAGCTCTGTAAATCTTGGCTGCCACAGGTTGAAGGATGCAACACAACAAGGATCTAGACAAGAGAGACACCTTTGAACAACAGAAAAATCAAAATGGGCCTGTAAACCTAACGCAAAGCTAAACCTCAGCCTTCTGCAATGTTATTCCCTGCTTTTCATCTTGATGTTCAGGATGGTATCAACTGTCTCCACTGAGATAAGCCAATAGTATTTCTATGTTTGGTTTTTTGTTGTTTGAATTTTGGTTTGGTGTGGGTTTTTTTGGTGGAGGTTTTTTTGGTTTGTTGTTGTTGTTTTTTAACTATATAGGGCTGATTTAACACCTAAATTTAGCCAGGGTAACAGAGAGAGTGTCAGCAAGTGATCCTATTTCAGTCAACAAGCTGAAAAGAAGGGCATACCAAGGTCTGAATGTCATTTGTCACTAAGTGATGCATGCAGGCAAACGGCTGTGGGAAGACACCTAGCCCAGATGGCAGCATCAGTGCAAGTGGATGTATGGCTGAGAAACCCCACTCGTGTGTATCCGGAGGAAGGAAGTTTGTTTAAAAGCAAACACACACACTCTATCAATGTTTTCTCAGTGTCAGTACTGTAACACCTCTACCCTCATTCTGGAAATGCATTGGTGTTTCTCCAGTTCTGTGAAAAGAGGGATTTGAAAATCCTACACAGCAGGTAAACATCAAGTTTACCTCCAAATTAAATTCTGGCATATTTTCCCAGATCTACAGATGCCTGGCAGAGAGGTTCCCTTTCCCTGAATGAAATGTGTGCAGTCAGCAGAGCTGTTCCATCCTCAGCTCTGAATTCAGGTTAGCCCTTAAACACTGATTTGAGGAGGCCAGGAGATGTTGAATTTCCTGACCTCTTTCAGAAAGAGAGAAGGACACCTGTTTATCAAAGTAGTTGATCCATGTCAGTTGGAAGATAAGGGAATTCTGGCCATGGAATAAAGCAAGTTAAAAAAGGCTTTCTGGAGATATCTGTTGTAAGTGTACATGCCCAGAGGTATGCATGTGCATATACCATGTCACTCAAAGTGTGTGGATGTGTATGTATGTAGTCCCCTTTGGTGGAGCACTCTCACGAGCAGGCGTTGAACCAGAGGGAAAATTAATCAGATTACAAAAATCTCCCAGGGCTGATCTCCCATCCTGGAGTGTAATTAATGTTTTAAAGCCCAGAAATGCAAATTTTATTTACAGCCCACCCTGAAATACTGTGGTATGCCTCAGCTAGTAAAGCAAATCTGCTCAGCAACATCAAAGACAAGTGCATGCCTGTGCGTCTGAATAACATTTGCTGTCCATCTTTATCTTTTTAATGTTTTGTCATATGGGCACATAAGATCAATCATTCCAGAGGGACTTAGAAATTTACTAACTCACTGAATGATGTCATTTGTGATCACAAATCTTATCTCCACAACTAGCACGAACCTTATTGTACAGGATATGCAGAAACAGACACTACAAAAGACATATTCTCTCTACATTTGCCTGAAAAATGATGCTGATTTCTCTGCTTCACTGAACTATGAAGAAGGAGGTATTTTCTATGATAAACTGAATGAACTGCTTTTCAGACTTACTTCATCTTACCTGATTCATGGCCATACCCTTTGTAACTCCAGAAGAGTTAAACACTGTTGTAATACACACAGTAGTATGCAGTACAGTAGTGCTGATGAAAGTAACAAATGCAGTCCCTGTACTGCTTGCTGAGATGTATGACAGAGACACTCTCTGTGCATGGACCAGCCAGCTGCAGATTAACAAGGCACTGCTGCGCCCAAATAGGTCCACTACTTATGCTACATGAAGATTGTCCTTCATATAATTATGTCATAAATCACACAACCAAAGCTTGCTGCTCAGGTTCTTCCTCTTCTAAATCAATATCTTTGTCCCTCACCATCTATATAAGGGGTGGCAAGTTTCACACAGTGACTCAAGAAATGCAGTCAATCTTTCTAAAACAAAACTGATAAACTCAATCAAAACAAAAGTCCATCTAGCCCAATATCCTGTCTCCAGCATTGGTAGGTAATGGATACTGAGGCAAAAGCAGAAAGAAAGTGACAAGAACAATCTTTCTCTTGGTATACTCTCCCAAGTCCCAGCATTAAGGAATATATAGATTTCTTCACCAGAGTTTTCATTTGAGCTGTTGTGTTCAACTGCCACTGACGGAGCTATCCTTCATAAATTTTGCTGAATTTCTTTTGAACCCACCTGTACTTTTGGCTTTCACACAGGCTGAAGAAGCATAAAGCATTTCTGTCTATCATGTTGACAATGTAACGTGCTAGTTCCCCAACAGGTGACAACATTACTGGGAATCACCCACCAGCGTACCAAACACAAGGAACTGGAAAACTAGCTTTGTGTTTTTCTCAGCCACTATTGCTGTTTTATTAGCCTTGAAGCTGGTCATCCTCCTAGTCCTGAAGCTAGTGAAGAAATACATGACAGAGTTTCTCCTGGCAGAACAAAAGCCCTACACAGCAGAGTGAAACAATGAAGCTGTTAAATTCACAGTTTGTGGTTTCTCTCAGCTTGCTTTGGCAACTCAGTATGGGGAATACATGTAGGCGGAGCTGGAAAACTTCTTACTCAGACTTGAAGGAGGCACGTTTTCCCCTCATCATCCTCTAAGCACCTTTATAGGCAAGACCACAGGAAATAATAAATCCCTACTGTGTTTCTAACTAGCACAAACAGCCATGGTCCGTAGACAGGATCAGGGGACTGAAAAAAATATTAAGCTCTCTTTTTTGGATAAACAAAAAGTAATTCAGCAGCCATGCCTTTGCATGTTTCCTCAGAGCACTGGAAGTGAGTCTGTTTCACTGTCCTTGCACAGCTGCAGGCAAACAGCAAGGAAAACATCCTAGCTGTAGAGCAATCTCCCAATAAATGAAGCATCAGAAAGCACATGGTGCTTGCCAGAATCCTGTCAACAGGGCACCTAGCTTGCTTTCTGAGAAAAGAGAAAGCTTGCACAGAAAGATACACTCAGGGAATAAGCAGTAACAGGACCTATGTAAGTTTGGCTCCTTCCAGGTGCAACCCTTCCCTTGTTACATTCAGTGCCTCCGAGAGTTTTCACAAACAGCCCCTCTTGGCTCCCTTGTGATCTGCTACCTTTACTGCTGCTCTTCAGAGCTACACCCCCTCTCACCCAGTTCAAGCCCTGAACAGAAAACCTGTCCTGTGTGAAGCTTGCTTTCCCATGCAAATGGTGTAAGTGGTTACTCCGGCCTCATGTACATAGGAAAGTTTCATACCGACTGGATGGACACCGTGTCACTGGTACCTCCTGGTACCACCACTAAATGCAGTGAGCCCCTGAAGAAGCAAAGCTTTCTAGGAAATCAAGACATTCGTGCTTAGCCTCACCTGGGAATGCTGGTTAGATATGTGACCACATTCAGGAAATCTTCATCAGGTATGTCACTGAATCCTGCAAATTCTGGAAAGGTTATAATGGGTGCCCCATCCTTCCCTCTTCCTCCTGCAAAAGAGAGGTTGTAAAGATTAGAGGGTCATTTTATGCCTTTGGACAGGCTGGTCAGTACTCAAATGGGAAACACTGGCATATCCCTCACTGAAAAGCACACAGATCCAGTACACGTGATCAGTTTCCCATTTGATATTATAGCCCACTGGAGTTTCATTACCTCAGTTTACTCCAGCTGAGATTCTAGCCTCTGTTGTTTATTCTCAGCTTTTTCATAAATCTTCTGCGTAATTCTGATTGTTTTGTTTGGTTCTTTGTTTCCTATTTCCAAGTAATTTCTTGTGATAATATTACAACGTTTCCCTATGTGGAGGTACACTACTCTCTGATTCCTTCTAGACATTAAAGGAAATGAAGTAATAGAGCACACAAGCTTTGAATACACACACATAACCCATGACACTAGGACCAATCCAGTCTTAGGTCTTTCCTTAATAAATAAAACACTCAAAGTGCATGGAGTATTTAATCAATGAGTTTGCTTATCTCATTTATTTATACCAAACCTCCATTAAATAGGACGAGAAGGCCACAACCAGCAAGGTCAAGAAGAGAAGTTATGGGAAGCGTGGAGCTGAGTCCCTTTACAGTCCTCCTGACACAATGCTCAGCTCTAGGGGATGTTGCAGTACACATCACATTGTGATCTGATCTAGGTGTTCCTGCTCCAGCAGGGGGATTGGACTAGATTATCTTTTGAGGTCCCTTCCAATCTCTAACATTCTGTGATTCGGTGATTCTGTGATTCACAAACCCTGTTTACCTGCAGGACCAATCCTAACATGGTTCTGCTCATAAAGCTGGGCGTCACTCAAACCACACAGAAGTTAACAGGAGTCTTCTCACGAACTTGGACTCAGAGCCAAGAGAAGATTAATGAGGCAGCAGCACACAAAGGAATGTGATGAAATAAAGCTTTTGTTACAGGTACCTTATTGTTAAGTGCTGCTTAGGCCATTAAGGACATGCTTTTCCCTGAGTCTTTCTCCTTCTCTGCCTTCAAAGCCTGTTGTTTGCACTAGGCTGAGCAATTCTCTACAAACCCAATACCGAGCCTAGTCCTGCAGCACACACAGTTTTCCTAATCATTTATCACCTGCAGAAGATTCTTGTCCAAGGTCTCTGGGTTTCCCTTTAGTGAAGGGAAAGCTGTGAGATGGAGACAGAAAATCACCTTCCTGAAGGACAGTATCCAATTAATTATCCCATTAGGAGTATAGGAGGAAAGAGAGACTCAGGGGAAAAATATGAATCCTCATTCCTCAAAAGTATCTTGTAAATCCCCATAAATGAACCCTGTTTCGAGGCTGCTCCCATATACTACTGCCTTTCCCTGCTGATAACCACAGCTGATGGCACAAACCAGTTACTCCTGCTCCTAGTTTTGTGGTTATTGCAAAGAGGTGCTCCAGTAATTCCTATTTCTCTCTAGAGTGGTCAGTCCCTTGCCAGTCCTGATCCTGCCTCTGCCCAAACCTCCCAGGCTCAGTTGGATTATTTAAGGTCCCTTCTTTGCTGTCCAGCCATGAAGGGCTGGGATACTGAGGAACACAATGTTTGCATAAAGTAAAAGTGAGAGCTCTAAAAAACAGGGATTTTGAACAAGGAAATCCTTTTCCTTCTTGACATCTGGTGACATGGTGCCTTTGTCAAGACACTACCTTCAGCCCCTATTTTTCTTTCTGAAGATTGATTATTGCTTTAATTATATCTGAAAATTTCTCAGTTGTGTTAGATCATCCAATAAACTTACCCTGCTAAGGAGAAAACAGGCCTACAGAGATTCAAAAGGCTTTCAGCCAAAATGCAAAGAAGGAATATTATCATTCACACTGCACTGGAATTGATTTCACATGCTGAGCAAAGCCACGGCCTCCCCATTAACCTGGGGATAAGGCCAAATGCTGATGCATGGCAGCTTGATCCCAGGGCACTCTAGCTGCACTATCTGCACTCAGCAGTGACATAGAATACGCTGTCATGCAAATTTAGTCAGACTTTGCCCAGACTGTTTGCTGCAGCCTAGAAACCAGGAACTCCATCCAGCAGGTACCCAGTTAGGATGGTTTGCTACAGATTCTTAGTGACATCTCCTGGACACAAATAGTAACGGCCAAAAAAATGAAATGGGAAACCTGTCTGCCCCGTCTCATAGAATCATAGAATCACTGTATGTATGTGGGTCTGTATTTTTGTCATAGGATCTTGTCCTACAAAAAGCCATCCAAGGAATGAATGTAAGCAGACTGAACACTTCCCTTCACCACTGGCAACAAATCTAGAAGGACGCTTAGGAGCAGCTTCAGATTGGGCAGTCAACTAAGAGCTCCTTGCCTCTCTGTAGGCCACACATCCTCAACAGCTCTTGGGCTCCATCTCATTCTCCAAGGTGAATGAAGCACTTAGTGGTGCAACCAAAACAGAAGAACACTCAGAAGGTTCTTGAATATAGCTATATTTCAGACAAGGAAATAAACATGGAACCTCTCAGTTCCTGCCATACCATGAACTTAGGGTGAAGTTTGAGGGAGTTCTGTGATCAGAAATTGTTAAGTACTATGACACAGAGAAACAGAATGTCTTAAGTGCTGGGTGACAGGCAATGATACAAATATGTTAGGAACGGGTGGTTCCGATCCAGAGCTGAACCCTGAGCAGCAGTTGAGTTACAAGGGAAAATGATCCATACCCATTTATCAATTTATCTAGCACAGTAACAAGAGCAGATGTTAAGGGCTATAAGGGAAGCTCCTTATATACCAAGGGTGTGTGGAAAACTTTCTCCTCTGGATAAGAGAACAGTTCCATACATCTAAATGTTAATGCCGGTTTTTTCCTGACACTAAACCAAGATCTGCTGCAGTATGCAAATTTCTGCAGAATGTGAACTGACAAGCCGCAGCCCTTTTTTTTCCTGGGCCATGAACCTTGCTTTCTAGGGTGTTGCTACTAGATTTCCCCCAGCCTGAAAATACTTTAACTGGCTACTCAATGTCTTGGAAGGGCAGAGAGCACAAACTAAAAACCAACATGGACAGTCTTCAGTCAGTTCCACAGCCATAAGGACGAAGTCTATAGAATTTGGCCTCAAGGACTCTCTGTGTACGATCCTTGCACTTCCTGGGACTGTGCATAACTCCCACACTCCTGCACATCACTTGTGAAAGAGTCTAATTTCTGAACACAAAATTTTACAATCCATCATAAGTAAGGCACACAGGGACAGAACAAGCTCCAGCAGCTCTATGGAAGACCAAAAGAAAAAAATTGTCAAGAAAAAAAAAAAAAGACTGTTTAAGTAGAAAGTGAGGGCAAGAGGAGAGAGACAGAAAAGAAGAGCCAAAGAGAGAGAGCCACACGAACACAGGACCAAGCTGAGAAGGTTACATGATGGCTACCTGAGGCACGTCTGCTGTATTCAGCAGTGTCTGTGCAGGAAGATGAGGGGGCCAAGGACTGCCAGGAGCAAAGGAGCTTGGTGGCATGAGCATGAGGCACAAGCTGAGCTAAAGAGCCCCATGGGAGAAGTGAGCAATAACTTGAGTTTAGTGCAGTCAGAAGGAGAAACAAGGTACACTGAAAAATAGATACCATGAGCACGGCCATGCCTGGCAGCTGTCTTCATGCAATGCCCTGGCCGCTGTGTTGCTGACTTGCAGCTCCTGCAGGTGCCATTAGATGCCACTCTGCAGCACTGTTCCAGCAACCCAACCACTTCCAACACCTCCTGGCAGATCCAAATGCCGGTGCAAGGCCAGGGAAAAAGGGGGGCAGGGGTCGTTGCAAGCAGCAGCCACAGGAGTCAGAGGTTCAGCTGGCAGGAGGAGAGGGTCAGGGCTATCCCCTGGCCGAATTACCATGAAGGTCACTCCTGACCCTGCCTTAGGGGGGCCAGGACATCTCTGGCAGTCTCCCATGGGTCACTGCTCCTCAGTCTGACCCCAGGCCACTCTGTCACAGCTAGCCCCAGAGTCTTTCCTGCAGAGAAAACTCAACCAGACTTTGTCTACCATCTCCTGCTGCAGACCTGAGCTCCCTTCCCAGACAGCACCCACAAACATAACACATGCTGCCACCCTGATTCAGCTCCATCTATTTCCTTCAAGAGGTCCATCTCCTTCCTGCTCTCTACGTCCACAGATAGCAACCTGCCTTGCGTCCAACCCAAACTCATTGTGTCCAAGGTATGGACCCACTGCTGCTTGGGGAGGGGCAGGCGCATTCTGATTAAAGATCTTGATGTATGATCAGAGGTAAATTATCAGCAAGCAGTTAAATCATTTGCATTCAGAGTCACACACAGAGGTGCATCAGGCTCAACAACTTGAAGCACAAATGAGGCACACAGCATCCGCAGGAGATGGAGGAGCAGAAAGCTGGACTGCCTGGAAAAACGCAAGACTTACGAGGAAAAGATGACAGTCAGCTTGACCTTCTGCCTGGTTTGCCACTCAGAATGACAGCATCACTTTCCTCCTCTTCCTGGGCACTCTCCTTATTTTCCACCCCAGCTTCTTGCTGAACAGGGCAGTACAAGGCATGGTAATGGGACCATCGCTCACTCTTACATGTGCCAATTTCCCAAGCCCCAAGACACAAAGCAGCACTGGTAGTTGTTCCTATTAGATAGACTTTCCAGCTGCCAATGCAGCCTGCCTAGCTGTTGCAGTAAAGATGAGGCCAGAATTCAGCTGTGGCAACAAAAACAGCTGAAGTATTTGGGGGAGGAATATGCCTGGGGGGAAATGGGATGTGGCAACAGAGAAAATTTCATTTTGCTTTGCAGTGTAAAGGGTGTGATTGACAAATGAGGTGTGAGTGCTGAATTCTGAGAGCTCTCACAGCTGGAGTTGCACGTTGGTATGACTGATGTAAAAGCAGGAAGCAATCACAACTGCAGGCCAAGTTCCTGGACACGATGGGGATCCTAGGAAGCTCCCACTTCCCAGTTCTAGCCCACCTATGCCTCTTGTCCAGGGACCAAAAATATCCATGGTTTAGACACTCAGGGGCTACATTTAAGTCCTATTCCATGGCCAGTAGCTCTTCTTGTAACAACAAAAATTAAACTTGTAACATCTAACTAGAGCTTACCAAATATGATGAATCCCTTGGGGGGGAAAAAAGAAATCAAACCAAAATAAAGAAAAAAACCCCCACACAAACAGGCTAAGAGTAGGAGAAGTTCCAAAAGCTTGTCTGCAAGTTTGCAGTGCACACCTCCCCAGCCTGCCACAGACACCAACTCATCAGTTAGTAGTGGAAAGTTTTCTTTCAAATTTTGTTGACACGTGCAGGCTAACTGCCTGGGTCTGCCCACAGGCAGAGAGCTCCCTTAGTCACAGCAGACCTGACTGCAATTCATCTCCTGGGTCAGACAGTTGAAGGGTTCAGTGATATTTTGGCTGAAGTTTCACTGCCTCAGTCAGGTTTTGCTTTTTTTCATGCTCTCTTGTTTTGTTTTTCCATGTTGATTAAGGGTTGTGAATGCTGAATTTCTCATTAAAGTTAAATCATGCTTCCTGGGTCTAGATTTTTACACACACTCCAAACTGTCCTTTTGGCAAGGTCAGGCCAGATTTTCCAAAAGGCCCAGTTTAAACAGAAAGCAGATGGCCTAATACCCTCCAGGCACTGGAAATTAAATAAACTGGCTTCAGAGTCAGTTACCATTTTCAGATACAGCCTTCCATCCACTGAAGTCCACTGACTAAACAGGAGCAGAACACAAAGAAAATGAATCTCTGCTAATACACTTCACGACAAGTTTGTCTAATAAATCTGTGATTTAGTAACAGGATCCATTATTGCTGCAAATGGCAGATTGGTCTCTTTGACAGAGTAATTACAGATAAGTACAGGTTGTGAAGCTGCAGATAAAAGGCGAGGGGTTAGAAGTAGTTCCAAGAACAGATTGGTACATCGGGTTATTAGTTTGTCAGCAGGACAGGAACAGTATTTTACCAGTGGTTCTCCGTTCGTCAGTACAAACTGGTGTATGTTAGAGTAGCCAGGTCTGCAGTGCTACCCAGCTTTGTGATCTAAGCAGCTACAGGAAACACACACACGTAGCTGTGCACTCCTATGTTGTCACAGCTGTAGTCCCATAATTGGGAGTTCAGTTTTCAGGGAAAGGAAAGAGGCAGCAGTGGTTTCAAAACTAGAATTTAACCACAAGAACCAGTACTCCCCCACCAGATCTCACAGGCTAAGCAGGGCTAGATCAGCACATGGAAAAAGAGATGACCAAAGTAGAACTATGCGATTAAGGACACTGTCACATTACACTGCAGCCTTTTCCGTGACCACAGCGGACCAGGGAAGGCTTTGGAGAGTTTCTCTGTTCTGGGCATGGACAGTACAGTGTTGGTTAGTCCAGTAGGTAGAGGGCCAGGACAAACAGGATGCTGTCAGTTTCCAGTATGTTCATTATAACTAAACCCTGACACAATCAAACACCAAACTTATTAGGCTTGCTACATAATTCCTACCATCTGTTCAGAAACTGCAAGACAGTCAGATCCTCTTGTAAGACATTCGTACACAGCAACAGTAGAGGAAACTGTTTCTAATGAGTCATGTCCAGAGAAAACAAAGAGTCTTTGACTTCAATCATACTACTTTTTTTTTCTACTTTACTGCGAGGGGATATTACGGTTTCACTTCATCTGCCTTAGGAGCCAGCTGTTAATAAAAAGCTGATATTATCCAAATAAATATTCATTTATAACAAACTGCAACAGTCAACCAGTTACTTTCATTATCACTGGACAAATGGATTTGGCATCCACAGGACTGAACAGGAGAGCCCAACAAAGCTGGAGACTGGAGTAGCACAAACCAGACTCACTGCTAACATCCTCTGAGCTCTGCATGTGCATGCACAGAAGAGGTGGCTAGCTGCCCTTTGGAGGCAGAACAGAAATAACCCCAACTAGAATAAAGCAGCATGAACTATTTTAATTAAGTTATTCAGAAAAATGTATTATATGGCCAAAATGCTCTACAACTAAGTTGGGAGTGTCTTTTACTGCCCACAGTGATGGGGCCAAAGAACAGAGGGGTTTTCTCAGACAGTGGCTACTGAGCTGGAACGTATCAGCATAGAAAAACAGGAAAAAAGCTAAACATCAGGATGATTTCAGTCTCCATGTAGGCAAGCACCAAAGCACCAAAATATTTGTGGTTGCTTGTGCCTAATGAAAAGCAGCATGCTTTAAGGAAAAGCTGCAGAGCTGCCTTGGAAAAAAAAAATCAAAATCAAATGAGGTCATTTATGTGCGAATTACTTTAAGAAGTGAACTGAGGCAGGAGAGCACCCAGATCTGTTTTCATTGGATGAAAAAACAATCTTTTGCTAGAGGAAAAAGAAAGTTACACTTATTTAGAGAAATGCATTTTTGAAAAGTATACTCGTTTCTGACTTGTACCTAAACCTCAGTTTGCAGGAGGCAATAAAGGGACAGTAAGGAAGATTCCTGTTGTTATATTTTACCTATGACCCACAAGTCGTCACCAACAGAATAAGATACTGGGCTTAAAGGGACCTCTGAGTAAATGATTTTATGTTCATGACCTTCTTTACAGGCTGCCATGGGGATTTCAGAGTGGAGGCACCCAGGTTTCCAAATTTAGCTGTAAACTTTAGACTGAAATCAACTTAGAAACTATGAACTATACTGCCCTGTTTCTTATTAAGATATTATTTCTGGACTGTACTGAGGAGATTTTAGATAAGCCTGAAAATTCTTCAAATGGGATTTGTTATTTGTGTAGATGGGGGCATGAAAGACATTTTCACTCACTTTTGGTATTTGTCATCAGTACTTGTATATTGATGAACCGGCTATTTGCCGATCCCTAACAAACACGCCCCTCAGCCCTGCCTTCTATGAAGAGTTATTTCCAAAGTCTTTAAGCACCTTAGGTTTAAATAGTCTTATTTAAACATCTTTCTCATCGCTTCCAAGAATCAGAGAATTAGGTCAAATGTGACGAGCTGAATTTGCTAAAATAGCAGGTGAGAATACAGGCATTGCTGAAATGATGAGTCCATAAAGAAACATGAAAATGCTTTTTTATATTTACCCTTGACATTTCTGTGCCATGTTTTAATATTCTAGTTGGAACTGGAAACGGGTTTTTTGTCCTGTTTAGTAAACCACTTTTCCCAAGTTGCTCATTCCATGCTATATACAGCTTTTACTAATGGTCTCAAATCTTGCAAGGTGATGGGGTTTAAGAAAAGCAGTCCTCCGCATTTTCCTGGGTAGGCATTGCCCATGAGGCACTGAATTCTCAACATGCATGATGTTCTTTACACTGATTTAAGTGTTTTCAGGCATTCATATATCAGTTAAATCAAAGGCCTTGAAAATAATACTGGTTTCATCAGCTCTGCATGCCTGCTGAGCGGCAAAAGAAAGCAGAGAGACCAGCTCTCTTCTAGAGAGACCAGCTGATAAGTGTTTTCTTGCTTACAAAGTGTGGACAAGGATCCCCATTGTCAGCTTTCCTTGACCACCTGATGCTTCCAGGACATTGCTGTGGCAGAAACCTCCAAAATCAAGTTTTAGTACTTGGAGCACCATCAAGAATTCTGAGTAACTTAAGATTTGGATTTCATTTGTCAGCTTGGAGTGTCCTTAAAAACGTGAAGATGCAGAAAGGACTGGGCCTGCTGAGTTGACCATTTGCAGAGCTGGGTCTGTGCACTCTCTGCACTGTGTACCCAGTGTTCCTCTCCACCAAGCAGAGAGGGACAGGCTGTCCAAGAGTGCCTTAGTATGACCCCTCAGTATTTTGTGCAAATTCATCATCCTTCACTGTGTGTTTATGGGGAAGAAGGAAAGCAAATTCTTCATTTCCTTATTTGCCGAACAGGTAGAAATGGAGACAAAAGGAGTTGCCAGAGGCCATACAGTCAACAGCAGAGGCCATTTTAGGACCCAGTTAAGGATTTCTCTTCTAGAGTATCCAAAATAAGTGTATTAAATAATTTGGCAAATATTTCAATATCAGCTGTTTATTTGGAGCAGGAACTGCGTCACTTTGTGTGATTGCAAACTTCAGGCAAACAAAGGAATATGTAATAATCTAATCTTTAAAACAGTAGAACCTTACACTTTAGAAATGAATCATTTCTAAAACAAAGGAAAATGAGGAAGAGGGGGAAGGTCATGAATAGCTCCCTGATAGACCAAAATCTTTTCCCACAAACAAGATGCCTGGACATTGTGCAAAGATATGTACAGAAAGAATTTTTTAATTTCTTACCCTCTCAATCTGTTCCCCCCACCCGCCACCCCATTGTGGAGAGCATGGGAAATTAACTTGCCTTAAGAAAAACAAGCACAGCAAGTTGGCATTTATCAGTTCCATACACTGTGAATGTCTGATTGTAACAGCACTTTTCATTAGCAATATAAAAATACTATTGCAACTGCTGTGCAGAGCTGAAGGGTGACAGTCAGCATGACAGATTCCAATACATTTCCAGGAGAATCCTGGAGTGTGATTACCAGCAACTCCTTACCTGACAAGATAGCAAATTGCCTGTGGAGCTGCTCTATGATATCCACTGCAACCAGCGGCCGTATCTCCTGCTGCATGATCTCATCTGTGCAAGGGAAAACAGAAATCTTCAATGAGTTAAAAAAAAACCTAATGACAATTTTTCCATCCTTTAACTATCCAGCAAAACAAAGATGACTCTCAAAGGAAAAGACCTGGCTTGACTATTAGCTCAGATGTTATATGACTGTCATGGAGAAGTTAGCGATACTTACAGAGTCTCATCTTCAGCCTACTTACTTTATCTATTGCCTTGTGATTTCAGAGAGAGCTTTTCATAAACCAGCTCCAGTAGATTTGCCAGAACGTGTCACAGGTTTGCTCAAGCTGACAGCCTGCTCCTTACTACTTCATGTTCCATATTAAGCCACTGCATTTGGCCTCCCACATAAAGCAGCTTTTCAGTCTTTGAAACAGTGAAGTCTATTGCAGACACAGTGCCATGTTCCCTGGTCTCTGCTTGAGGACTTTGTGTAACCAGCTAATCCAGAACAGTTTCCTTTGCTGATGCTTTTTCCGCTACAAGCAAATACATAGTAAAAGGAGGAAATCAGGGGCTGCAAGGCTTTCTTCTCATGAAAACAAAGCCTGTTCTTTTGAAGTAAACACTGAAAAGTTAAAAAAAATAACTTGGCAAGCAGCTGGGGCATTTTGTGTGTGATCTATTCAGTGACCAGGAACTATAATCTCACATTGAGCTAATTTGATCTCTTTCTGTAACAGGTGCACCCAAGTGTTCTCCCCACTCTTCACCCCAGTCTAGAGCAGTAACATTTACTGGGCAATATCTGACAGCTCAACTGGCAGGATCAAGGTTTATGTTACAATAGCACCTATTCGGCCTTTAGCCACTGTACAGCTACAGAAAAAGAACCCGTCCTGGCTTTGTACAGCTCACCTCTAACTGCCCAGACAACAGGTGGAAGGAAGGAAGTTGGGTCCAGATAGACCACAGATCAGAGTAAAGGCAGGTAGCTGTCCTATTTAAGCATCAAAATCTTCATTGAGTACAGGCACTGAAATACTTTGGTGCACCTGGTTTTAAACAAACTGTCCAGAAATAGAGAGGGAGGTCAGAGAGGTTAGAAATCAGTTTTTTCTCTTGCATCCTAGTCTGCTGCCCAAAATACCATCTCTGTCTTGCTTTCAGACATCTGCTCTGATCTTTTCCAGAACTAGGGATTATAGGTTTTAAATGACACAATGTCACTTGGAAACTTTTCTGTTCGTTTTCAAACATTTCACTAATGCCTTGAGACAAAGTAAATGAAGAGCTTGTGTCATTGCCCTCTCCTAGACAGATGGTGACACACAATACAGAAAGAAGTTGCATAGATTTTGGCTGATGCACAAAACAAGGCAATAATTCCAAGCAATTGAAAAAAAAAATCCCAAGGGGGCTGATTCTGCAAATACTCCCTTTGAACTAGAAAGGGAAAAAGTCAAACTAGAATGAGTGATGTTTTTGATGTGGGAACTTCGTTTCCATCCTGTTTGTGCAGCCCACTGTCAGCTTCTCTGATTCTTGACATTGTGGGTGGCTAAGAGCAACCAGAAGAGCAGATTAATGAATCACAGCTAAAGAGCTTGGCTTCAGTGATGTTCATAGCATTTACTGTAATTTCAATCTACTGCTCTGGTCATGTATTTACACTGTTGCACTGAGTTATCAGACCTAAGCCTTAGTTTTGGACACAGAGTGGTTTATTTTCACTGAGAGCAGAGATATACTGCTCCAAGTAACCAAGCAGCTGTCTGCAGAGCACTGAGCCACGCAGTTATAGCCCAAGAGCCCTGCATGTCAGGGTGTGAACTATGCTCACTTATTTGAATGTGTGATTCCTAGTCACCAAATGTATTTTATACTACCTTTCTCATAACCTGAACAGAGCCCAAGAGTTCAAGATCTGAGTCTGTGTCAGGTACAGCACGTACATAAAAGACACCAGTGGGACTCCAGATCTCCTGAAGTGGTGGGGTCTGCTGGTAGGGGAGAGAACAATTTATTGCAAAAAGCATAGTGGGCCAGCGTAGATTTGTGGCTTATTCTCTCAGTCAAAACGTGAATATGCAGTAGAGATTACAACACAGGTAGATACAGCCTTTGTAGGAAAACCACCATATCTTCTCCCCACCCCAAGTCACCAGAACTGCAACAATCAAAACTACATCCCAGCACAGCTTCACCACAGCATCTGACATGCAGACTCATGACTTAACCTCCAAAATTGGCCCTGTCAGAACCAAGAGAGTTTGCCTTTGCTAGGGAAGGCAAGAAACCTTACAAAGCCCTGTTGCTCTCGGCTGATTAACACAACTTGTAAGATAAGGGATCCTGGTCATCCTGCCAGGTACAAATACATCCTGACACCAGCTCAGAGTTTGCCTTTCTCTCCAGACTTAACAGAACAGGAGTTAAGAGTGGGATCTGCTTCATCTCTGCCTTGACATCAGGGCAACTTAACCTTGTGCTCTGATGCATTACACAGCTTCTTAGCAGCCACAGTACAGTGGTTGCCTGGACCACCCCATCAGCCTAGATCGCCACAGGAGAACTGCTAAAAGCAATGCATGTCTGCCTGGAGAGGTGCCCTGTGCTACACAGGGTGCCATGGCGAATGATCTTCCAGCATATCACTGACATTATTCTGAAATCTGCTTGGGGAAAATAGACTCATGTCCTTTCTCTCAACACGACCCTCATGACTATATTTCACCAGGCTTCTATAACAAATAGGCCAAAGGGACCAAAGACTGCCCAAGGCTGGAGCAGGGCTGGTCTCTTCCACTCAAGAAGCGTATGCCCTTCTCTGTGCTATATCTGCTCTGCAGGTGCTGAAAGAAAGCCATTCTCCAGGACTGGAACAGCCATTAGGACCTTTTCATCAGCAGGGCACTCACTTGCAACTGATTTTGAAATAGGACAAAGCCTGCAAATCTCTAGACAGAGATACATATACCGTGCAGTTCTTCATTACTTGAGCTAATTGAATTTGCCAGGACAATTAAAATGTGAATAAGGATGTGACACTAGAGGGGGAAAACATGAAACAAATCAGTTCATCTACTCTTGGTTCTCCTCTTAAACTGCTATAAATTCAGTTCCTTCACTGCAGAAGAATTAGGCCCTACAGTTTTGCCTCCCAACATTTTTTACCAAGGGGGAAAAAAAGAAAAGCAATTACTATAGCCATCTGTCTGACACAGCTTCTCCTCCCTCCCAGATCTCTAGAGGGGCTAGCTGCAACTGTGCTATCTAATCTTTAAGGGGAAAGCCATTCAGTTATGCTTCATAATTCCTCACTCAAAAATGAGCTTCCCCACACACACACTTGCCTGTTTTCTTTCTCACCACAGCTGTATTCCTGCAGCAGGTCTCGAGCACAGCCCACGGACTGCCGCCTTCAGAGCTACACCAACAGCAACTGATTAAGAGCAACAACAAATATAATCTTGCTTCTTCCTCTCTCCACTGAGCAGAGAGAAACTAATTTACATGCTAATGACAACTAATGGTTTCCAACAATGTTGGAAAGATGACCCGCTGGAGTGAAAGATTGGACTGCACCTACGAGATTAACACAGCAGTGCCTGTTGGGCCATGAAAGACAACCAAAAGCAACCAGCCGTAACAGGACACTGTGATTTCTTCATTTTTTAGTGACTGAATGCTGTAACTGCCTGGCCTTCTGTTGACTAGGGGAGGGGGTTGCTTCAATCCCCCATCTGAAGTCATTGATCTTGGAATAATGGGTTACAAATTTGAGAGCAAAGTTCATCTCTTCTTAATGACAGCCTAATATGTAATTCACAGGGAAGGAAAACAGCTGAGTGTGAAAATAATTTTTTGCTAAAATCATAGAGTATGTTAGCCTTCTTCTACTCGCAGTCAAAAATGACCCTCACAGCATTCAAATCAAAATTGTGTATTTGGGGAAAATCAGAGAGGGTTAAGCATAAGGCCAGAGATTTAATTTTAAGAGCACGAAAGGACACTTTTGTGTTCTTATTCTTCTTAAAAAGTACTAAAAGGCAACACACAGAGTTTGAAAGTTGCGAAGTACCTACAGTTCAAATATTCTCCCAAGTCCTGTGTCTGCTTGCGATGCACAACAACAGTTAGCTGAGAGGCTAGCAGAGCTAAGTTAGCTTTCAAGAATTAAATACACTAAGGCGACAAATTTGCCTGTCTTCACTGCTAAGTCTCAAGCAGGCTAAAGGATTTGAAAATACTCTGTCCCACCAGAATTCCCAATGCAAACCCTTAAGCAAAACATTTCCCTTCCTGAAGGCCAAAAAGAACATCAAAGAGAAAGAAGCTCTTGGTTTAGGTTTCTTATTTTTGATTCTATTTATTTCTCTTTCTCACCATTTGTAGCCTTTGTTTACTTTTTGAAAAGGTTGGTTTATTCTTTCAGCCCAGACAGGGAAACAGCAAGATCAGTTACTGACACAAGCTGGCTGTGCTACAAACTGCTTTAAAGAGGAACTAAAAATCCAGCTATAACAGACAGGAAATCCCATCCTTTCTCTTATTCTTCTGCACGTTCCCACCACCTCCTTTTTTGCTAACGCACATTGAGTCAACTGAAAACTAAGCCAGGAAAAAAAGTATTGTAAATAAAGTGAAGCAATCTTTTTCTTAGTGGATTGCTTCTTATCTGGGTTAGTTCTCTGCAAAGGAGCTTGAAAGGTACAATTGCTAGTAAGGTGTGAGGTGGGAAATGGCAAGGCCAAGACACCTCTTCCAGCAGAGAATCAGATCAGCTTAGAGCAAAAGCCAACATGCAGCATCAGTAGGTGACTGGTGTCATCTTTTTGCTCAGATCATTTGCTAACCAAGCACAACTCTAAAATCTACAGCGTGTATTTGTTTAAATGCAATTTCTGTTCTCATTAAAACCATGCTTCATAGCAAAGTTTGCTAACTAACTTCCAAAGACAGAAGATTCTTCTAAAATATTTAAGTAACTCTGGTTCATGTTTGGAAGTAAACCTTGTAGCTTTGGGGTTTTGTTTGTTTGTTTGTTTGTTAACTGTAACAGC